ATATATCGCCTTGCTTATAGTATCGCAATATATCGGGATATATCGTATTGTGACCCCTCTGTCATGATATGTATCGTATCGCCAAATTCTTGCCAATACACAGCCCTAGCATTTAGTGTAGTGTGGTGTGAAGCGGTAGGTGCAGTTTGAGCGTTGACGTGCATGCGGTTGCGTCCAAAGCAGCCGACGCTCGAGTTAAGAAAAATTTAACTTTTGCTTCTCGACACACCGCGTCAACCAGAGAGACTGATTTTTCCACGTGACGTTTCCTGAATGTTGTCCACTAAACTTAAACAGACAGACAGGAGCTCTGTAGCTAAAACTGACCTTCTGTAGTTGGTGTTCTGGCTGGAGACACCAGCACTGATGTGGGTCAGCAGTTTGTTAAACTGACCGCGGTGTTAAACTGGGATCAGGACAAAAAAAAGTTTGTCAGCTCCTGGAGTGGTGAAATTAACTGAATCAGACCATCCTCTAAATTATCTGGTGAATTAATTATCTGGTGAGCTAAACGTTTGCTTGCTTGGCAATAAAATAAAATTATACATAAATATTTATGAATATAAACACATCCTTGAATAAATGAAATAAATAAATAAAGTAAAATTTTATATAATAAATAAATAAATGAAGAAATAATATAAAGTAATGCTAAAAAAATTCAATACATTAATTTTATTTTATTTCATGGGGACGTTTAATTATTTTATGGACTATTTATTAATACTTTATTAATTACAGTATTTATTTATTTATTTCGTCTTGAATGAAACAGCTCTCCATAGTTTTGAGTTCACAAATGGTTACTTTTTCAAAGTTGAGGGACATTGAGCTGTATGTAGCTGTGAACTGGCACCATGGTCACATGAGGGGTGTTGGATAATGTCAGGAAACATTGATGGAGACCCTTTTTTAGGTGGATAACAATAGGTACGTCCATTCACATGAATGCAATGCATTCCTCTGCTCTCCTATTCATTTGCTATGGCAAGCCCTATTAAGACATGTTGATTGGAGATGCATGTTAATAATGATATAAGACAAACTTACATTAAACCTTTATTTAACCCAGTGCTTCAAAACAAATATGTCTCTATACCAGGGGTGGGCAATCCTGGTCCTCGAGGGCCACAGCCCAGCAGGTTTTATGATTTTCCTGCTCCAACACACCTGATTCAGACATTGAATTACCAAGTTCTGCAGTATGGAGGACTGACACTGACATAAGGAGAAAAAAAGTGGAAATATATAAAT